GTGCTTGTTCCCAATCCAGTCTGGACTATATGTGGGCTGTGTCTGTGTATGTTTGTGCTGGCCTCCCTTCTCCCCAGAGCTTCACAGAGCCTGTCTTAAAATTATCAGTCTCGGTCCTTTGCCGGCCATACCGAGACAACCCACCACCCCTGATGGGACCACCGAAACCAGCAGGGTGCACCTTCCTGTCTGTGGTGGCAAGAAATCTTTGGCAGGTGACAAGTTCCCAGACAAGCCCCCAAATTGTGAGAAAAATCTCAAATAATTTTCTTCAGACAGGACCTTCTGTGAAGCTACTTTATTCGCGATTGCAATGGTGGGTGTCCTGGCAATTAGGAGCGCATTTTAGTAAACAAATCATAACCTTTTATTCCCTATTACCTGACACCTGATCACCTCCCCTCTTTCCTCATTGTCTGAGAACTCCAGGTTCACAAGCTACTCGAGGCTCCTCTATACCATATATGTACAATTTTTTTTTGTAACCCTTTAATTTCTCCTTTCTTATGTTTTGAGAACTTGTGATATTTGTTTTACTGTTCTCACACTGCTCATCCTGTTTTTCTCAAGTTTCTACCTTATTTTGGGACAGTGAGGCCTTCTACCATCTACTTACCTACCTACCATTTCTCCTCATTATGACTATACAACTACCTTGGAATACAGAAAGTTAGTTCTCTACTGCAAAAACAGTATCTATTTTTTTCTCACAGTATCTTGCTGGAGAGCCGTGCTTGTAGCACAAGTCTCTGAAGTGCTGCTGAGTTCAGCTCTGCCAAGAGTGCTCAGAAAGATGGTTCTCTGTGAAAAGCAAGGCTGCTGCAACAGGAAGACTAAAAGATAGTCCATGTTGGATGCTTTGTCCTTCCACAGGTTTCCAGGGCCCAAGTCTGAGTGACATTTGCTGTACATCCTGTTTTCGTCTGTGGGATGTTCTGAGGGCATTGCAAAGCCAGAGAGATGGAGGAGCCCTGACCCCATATAATTCCAGGGCAGCATGAGGTACGGCAGCATGTTCCTGGCCCTCGCTGGTGAGGCAGGAGCAAAGCTGTGGGCATTTAAAGGCGATTCTGTGCAAGCTGGACCTCGTCGGCTGCTGGCACAATCCCACTCTGGCAGGATTCGCAGCTTTGTTGCTCAGAGGTCTTTGGAGGTGCAAGAGAAGGGCTGCGCCAGTGCCTTAGGGGTGAGGCTGCTGCCAGTATTTTCAATGGCCTTTGCTCAAATACATCGAAATCTAATGTGAACCAAGAAAGTAGAGCCCCGATCGTTGTAAAGCCCAGGCAGGCTTGCTGGTGGCTGCAAGGCAAGTGGCACGATGCTGCTGATCTGGGCTCACCCCTCTGGCCACAGACTTGAGAGAGTGGGGAGAATGACCCTAACAGAGCTCATTGAACCCTGGGATGTGTAAAACCCGCTTTAGATGACTTTGTCACCTCTCAGAGGGGACAGCTTTGAGCACTCATGTCGTGGGGCTTGGAGCACGTGAGCTGGGTGCTTGCCACCAAGTGAAACCAATCTCATTGTCTGGGGACAGCTGAATGCCAACGGGAAGTTAAATGCTTTCAGTGACAAAATTTTGCTCCTCCTTTCCTTTTATTTTTCTTTAATGAGGCTTCGTGATCCTCCCATGAATCCCAGCCAGCTCTCCCCTAGCACAGAGCCTGGCAGCTCTGCAGAGCCCTGCCGAATTCCTGTGCGTCACGTCTGCCTCCTTTAAACAGGACTGGCAGTGCTGGGAGCTGCGTGTGCTGCCGGGCCACTGATGTGAAGCGAGATGTGACCGGCCCTCCTTTCAAATCTGGGCAATGCACTTTGGTGTGTCTCGACCACAGGTTGTTAAAACTGGTGACAGATCAGTTCCTGTCACCTGTGAAACTGAGAAAATTAACCATATTATTATTATTATTATTATTTCCCCTTTTTTTCCCCTGCAAACTTTGGCTAACTGCTGGAGTGGTGCAAGAAAGGAAGGTGAAGCCAGAGGGACCTCCCCATGGTGGGATTATCGGACCTACATGCTCTCCTCTTCTGTGCTCAAATCTCCTTGCCTTCAGAATGAGATGTCTGATAAAAATTGGGAGCCACCAGAAGCCAAAATGAGCTCCTCCTCTAGCAGTTATTGTGTCTGCCTGTTTCTAAGCCACAACATCCCACCAAGAGCAAGCAGCAGAGGAACACTGAGTGGCAATACATCTGTGAACTTTCAAGATCATTGTGCTCCTCCCCAGTCCTGATATTAAAAGGCCATGGAACGTGGAAATGATGCTCCATAAATTAAGAGCGAATGTCTGTTGCACCTGGTGAGATGAAGCATCAGGAGCATGGGGCTGTGCTGCTGGACGAAGCAGGGAGGGATATATTAGGAGGCAATGACCGCAGCAGGATAGTCCCAGCGAGGTGTTTTAATTTCTTAACAAACTCTTTGGGCACTAGAAACTGTAAAATAACACACAAATAAACAAACAAAAACTCACTGACCCTTAGCACCCTGGAGGGCTCTGTTTCAGATCGCTGAATAAAAGCTGAAGTTGCATATGCATGTTTAATGTAACACAAGGCGCGTGCTGCGGAAAGCATGCTTTCTTCTAATCTGGTTCCAGACAGAAGCATCCAAACAGAAGCCCCTTTCCCTATCCCCACTGAACTGCCGGGTGTATTCAAGGAAACCCCTGAATGACAAGGCCTCCATCTGCTCTTAAACGGAGTTGCGACTGGCTGCAAATGTTGTCCATATGCTTTTTTTTTTGTTGCCTTTCAACTTAGCTGCCTAATGTTAGGCACCTATCCCCAAATTAAGCATCTGTTCATAAAAGGCTTCCCTAAAAAGGTGAAGGTAGTAGCTAACTCAGGCAATGCCCATTAAGGCATCTGCAGACAGGGAAGGAGGTGTGGTTATTCAGACAGTGTGGTGTTTTTGTTTGCTTTTTTAGGGACTGGAAAAGCCCCTTGTACTGTCAGGAAAAATAAAATCCAAGCACACTATCAAGTTTTGGGTTAATATTTCCCTAAGGTCTTGATTGCCTAAGTGATTGTGATCAGCATCTTGTGATTTCTCTCTGTTAAATAAAGCTGGTGATAGCTCCAGCCTTATAGAAGAACATTGGTTTGCTATGAAATTGGGCTGGTTGAGAGTGTATCCCAGAAGCCAGAGAAGGGTCTACTAAATGAGACTTTTTCTTTGGGCTGGGTTATAAAAAGGGCTAGAGAATCTTTTCCTGTGTAGTGACTTTGCAGTTGGTACTGGGATAAGGTGACCAACAGCTAGTGATGTATGGATCTGGTACTTAAACACAGGTATGTGTTGCTGCTGTAGGCACCCTAAGGTTTCCTGCCCATCTATCAGCCACCTTTTAGGAAAAGTATGGGTCTCCTTTCAGTCCTGTTGTCTCTAACAAGTCTCTAACTTGTCTCAGATACTCTGTGTGTCTAAAAAGTCTCCTTTGCTTAGACAAAAAAGTCTCTGCCTGTACCTTGGCTTCCCATTTCTAATGTAATAATACAATTGCTTTAAGTTTTAGTTTAATTGTTTCTTTATTGGGAACACTTTGAGAATTTAAGGTGCTTCGTATTGAATCAATGAAGGTATAGACGCAGCCTTTTGCGTGTTGTATTTTTCAGTGTGTTTTTTGAGAAGAGGAGGAAGGATAACTTTTGCATATTATCTGGTCTTCCTGGGGCTTATGGGATGCTGGGGTCAGCAAGTGAGAGACCCCACCACACCTGGCCCTCCCAAGGTGTCCTGAAGTTTATCTGCCTGTTTGTAATTCCTGACACTGAGGGTCAGCTCTCTGCTGTGCCCTGACATTGAGCAATGGCTGCAATTCCTTCTAATTGTGCCCTTCATTTAGGGCAGAGCGCTTCCACTTGGCTAAGCTCATTAACTGCTTTAATGTTGTGGTCATCTTTTCCATATAAATTCATCCTGATGAAATCTTGCGACTCTCCCTCAGTCACCCAGCAGATACTGAGAGCGTTTGTTTTTCAGCTGCAGACAGCAAAAGTTGGGGAAAAAAAAAAATTGATGTCTTGGGCATGTCTATGAGAAAGTGTGTAAATATGATGGGTTTACTGGGGACTCAATTGGCTGTGCTATTGTTTGAGCTCCAGCAACATTGTGTCCAAACCTAGAATCCCAGCCCCTTTCTGCTGTGGAGTTTTATCAAGGTTTATCAGGTCCTGATAAACCCCAAAATGCCTTTGGTGAAGATCTGAAGTGATCCAAATGATCCCTAGAAAACAACCAGGGTATCGTGAGGACCCCACTGCTCAGACCATGCTCAGCCAGCCTCATGGGTTGGCAGTGAAAAGGAGTTGGCTGGACTCACTTTATTTCCCAAACTGCTGTCTGTAGACAGAGGGAAGCTGCGGGGACTCTGTTTCTCTGGAGATCTCCACAGGACAAAGCACAGTATGGATGCTGTGGATGCGTGAGCAGTCAGAAGTGTTGTAGGAGGGTGGGCTGTTGAATTCACAGTAAGGATTTGCTGGTAGTTATACAGACTGGTTGTCCAAATGTGGATAAATCATACCTGTATGCCTGCATTTTGCCAAATCTAGCTACACTAGAAGCAAATTAGCACTATCTGCGGGACGTAAATGCTGGTATATGTGCTTTGCCTCAAGCCATTACAGCCTGGTAATTGCGCTCCCTGAACATCATCGATTTGTTCCTGTTCATGTATGTTTATGATAACACATACATAATACTGGGCTAAAATAACCTGTTCCTTTTCAGCCTGGTTTGTGTATATTCTCAATGTGTTCTTCTGCACACCTTAGTTTCCTTCTGCCCTTGTGCAACTTCCTTGATGTAGTGATTGGGGAAGGCTCCTTAGCAGCTTGGGAGCTACTGCCTCACAGAAGGGCATCTCCCAACAATGCAGGATGAGACCTCAGGTTTTCCTAATGCCCTTTCTTCCCATGCTTCTCATCATAAAACATCTTGGTCTTTGGTTATTCAGACTGTGATGAAGTTTTTCTTGCCTTCTCTCTTATAGGGAAAAGTCATCGGCGATGCAAAACTGCTCATGAGCTGTGGTTGCAGAAAAGGGAAAAATACTCAAGTGAAAGACTCGGATCAGGTCAGTCAATCTGTACTTTAACTAGTGGAGAAATAAAAGAAATGTTAATATTTGATTGATTTAAACTGTGCTATTGCGTATTGGTGTTTTGGCCTCAAATAGTGTCTCTGGTATGGTTGACGATACAACGTTAATGTTTTTGGATTTGCTGTTTGTAGAAAAACAAAACAAAACAAAAAAAAAAGGAGCAAGATCAGGGATTCATTGCACTAGGAGCTATGAATGCCCTAGCCTGACTTATTCCCATCTGGTTTGTTTATTTATGAATTCTGTTTCTTTATAATAATCCACTCCAGGCAATGTGTTTCTTAAAGACTATTGCACTTTCTGGCTGGCTAAATGCATGCAACCTTTGGTCTCAAACTGTAGCTGCCTGGATGTGTGATTGTTACAGGGAACACGCTAGAAAAACATGCCGTTTGTTGCAAGCTTTTGTTCCAAAGAGACATCATCAAAAGAACATTCCTTATTGAGGTTACTCATGATAGACACTTAAAAGCTTGTTCACAAACACAACTGATGGACAGGTTTCAATATTGCAAGTTTTCAATATTCATTACTCAGCGTGAATTGCCCCTTATTCTCAAATTGGTATAATTGACGTCAGTGGGACAACTTGCAGGGTCCAGCCACTGGAAGCAAGGTGGGCTGCACTCTGAATGCCAGCCAGCCGGCAGGCTCTTCCCACCGCTTTGCACTTCTTCAGACCAGTTGAGTTTTGTCCCTGTCAAAATATTTTGTGGCTATAGCCTTCTGACTTTGTAACTAAAGAGAGGTTTGAATTCAGAGATCATTCATTCTGAAGATGAAATAATTTGTGGTTTGAGCAGAAGCATTTTATAAACATCATGTCATCCAATATTCGGTGTGGTATAGGGAAGCATCTGATCTCAAATATCAGCTAACTGGCAGTGGGGTCCCTGGTGCAGCTTGTGAACAACTGTGATCAGGTATAGACCTGAAACAGATTCGGTGTCCACAAAGCTCCAGGAGCTCCCAATAATTTCTCAATGGGAAAAAGGCTTAGTTGTCATGAGGGAAAAAGTTTCATTTTCAACATGCATGTTCTTCAACCCTAATTAATAGTGGTGTACTGAGCCTTGTTTTGTTAATACCTAAGAAGATCTGAGAATAGATCTGTCTATCCTGTGGTGGGCTGTGTTGTGAGAAATGCTGGTTACACTTATAAATGCTTTGGAAGACTAAGTTTTTGTTTTTTTTTTTTTTAAATCAGTATTTTTAAATAATGAATTCATTGTCATGTGCCGTAGTATCAGTTCACCATCGAGACAAGGATTCATATGAGTTTTCTTTAAAGCATAGCTTCCCACTCTCCCAAATACAAGGTTAATATTCTCATGTTGAAGTTCTAACACATAAGGAGAAAATTAATTTAGAAATGAAACACTTTCACCGATCTTACTCTTTTGTATTTTGATGTACGCTGGCTGAATCGCTCTTGATTTACAACAGGGCTAGATCAGGGTCAAACCTCTTGCAGTAGAGATTAAAAATGAGAAGGGAACATCTCGATTGCAGGAGAGGTTTACAAAACACCATCTCTAACAAACCCTAAGCATTGGACCTGAATCTCATTGATCACAATAATTTAATTATAGAGTACGCAATAGCTTTTGAAGGGAGAAAAAATCTCAGCCTCTTAAATGTTTTGTGGGGCAGTAATGAATTACTCTTTGCATTTGGTTAATTTCTGAAATCTAACTTCAGATGCTTAGTGATGTGCTGTCCACCTCAGTAACTCTTTTTTTTTTGCTACATCAGCATAAACTACTGGGCAAGTACCTGATGCAAAGGCTGCAAAGTGCATCTGTCTTGCCTCTGGATGCCAGGACTTCAGGGGATAGGAGCTGGATGGGGAGAAAGTCTGTACAGGAGGGTGGGTGGCAGCGTGGAACATTAGTCTGCGAATGCAGGACCTCAGCTCAGCTTATAAATTATCCCCTGGGCCTTGTAGGTAAACACAGACTTCTGTGGTGACATTGGCTGGGAAAGGCAAACACTTGCTGACAATTGTAGGCTAATCCTTCAGGACACTAATTGCCAGAAAACCAAGGAAGCCTTATTTTAGGAACAGATTGTTTCACTTTGTGAAGGGAAAAAACACTGCGCTAGATTTAGTTTTATTTGCTGAGGCCTTTCCCTCCCTGCCCCCAGTCTCAGATTTTGAAGATTTACCTTCATAATTGTTGTTGGAATCTATTCATTCTTTTCTTTCTTTCTTTCTTTCTTTCTTTCTTTCTTTCTTTCTTTCTTTCTTTCTTTCTTTCTTTCTTTCTTCTTTCTTTCTTCTTTCTTTCTTTCTTTCTTTCTTTCTTTCTTTCTTTCTTCTTTCTTTCTTTCTTTTCTTTCTTTCTTTCTTTCTTTCTTTCTTTCTTTCTTTCTTTCTTTCCTTCTTTCTTTCTTTCTTTCTTTCTTTTTCTTTCTTCTTTTCTTTTCTTTTCTTTTCTTTTCTTTTCTTTTCTTTCTTTTCTTTCTTTTCTTTTCTTTCTTTTCTTTTCTTTCTTTTCTTTTCTTTTCTTTTCTTTTCTTTTCTTTTCTTTTCTTTTCTTTTCTTTTCTTTTCTTTTCTTTTCTTTTCTTTTCTTTTCTTTTCTTTTCTTTTCTTTTCTTTTCTTTTCCTTTCTTTTCCTTTCTTTTCTTTTCTTTCTTGCAGTAAATGAATGCAGTAGCATTTCATTTACTGCTATTTCTCCAATGTGCCTCTGGAAGGGAAGACACCATAAACTCCTTGACCTGTGGTCTGTGTCCCTGGGCCTGACATTGAAAAGCACCTATCTGTCTAGTGGTTTCCAGGGTGCAAGTCACCAGTGAGTAAATTCCAGCCCTGTCATTGTGGAGGGCAGAAGCCCAAACAGGCTCACGTGAGGCTGGGATTTCCCAACAGTCACAAGGAACTCAGCTCTCCAGTTGGATTTTCACCAGAGCAGGAGAGGGACCAGTGGTCTGTGCTGCATGGCCTCCCAGTCCAAATGAAACCATACAAGCTGAGATGAAAGGCTAAGCAGTGTAATATAAATCCCACAAAACCTTTGGTAGCCTCCAAGGGAATACAGCTGAGCACACTAAAGCAGTCAGTTCCTGTCCTCTGTCTTCCTTCTGTGCCGTGGATGGTTTTGATGAAGCGTTGGGTCGGTGGAGTGGGATGACTGAGAGAAGTCCCAAAATAAGGCTACCTCTTGGCAGCAAAACCCTCGTGTCCTTGGCTGCCATTGGCACCGCTTCCAGTTGTTTGTGTGCTTTGTGGGAGTGAAATTCATCTGTGCTCCAAGGCCCAGAACCAAGTCTGTGCACCACAGACATCCTACTGTAATTGTAAGGTTCATATATGCTCTTCAGAGTGGTTATTAGTTTCCCAGTAATTTATGCCTCCCCATAAATTATTATACTGTTGGTTATTATTTGAGGTGCGTTGTTGCATAAGAATGGCAATCCTGGGTTAGGCTTTCCTTGTACTAAATAGTATATTAACATATAGCAGGAAAAATGGTTCCTGGGGAATGATTTCGGCTGTGTCACTTCTGTACTTTCTAAGGAAATCAAAACGTCATTTAAGAACAGGGAAAAACTGTGTGGGATGACAAATAGCATGTGTATTAAGGGTATAAACAAGGCTGAGAACCAGAAGTAGCAAAGAGCTCCATATTCTTAACACATGCAGCTTTGCCTTTGTGGCGTTTAGTTTTATTTATTTTTCCCTGCTTCTCCCAATCAGTAGGCAGCTCATCAATGCTTAACTGCTCTTATCCTTTAATTTTTTTTCTTTTTTTGCTTAACTTTTCTGGTGGCTTGTGCAAGTTCAAGTGTTACTGAAAACTTGGGTCCTCTGTCTTTCTGTTTGTTTGTTTTTGGTTTTAATATGACAAATGTGTGTCTCCTCTAGAAACGGTATCCATGCTGCAAAGTAATTATTTAGTGAATGGTGGATCCAGTTCATGTTGGCAGGGATCAGATTAATCATTATTAATCATGACCCCTCTGACAGTAACCTCATCCCTTGCCTGAGTGCTGTTCTGTATTACAAAGTAATGGCTGTTAGGGGATGGTTGGGCCTCTGCTCTCACTGCACCAGCACTGGGCACAGGACTGCTGACAGGGGGCAGAGGAACTTGGTTCAAAATCAAAAATAGCCACACACAGTCCATGCTCCAGAAATGAAATAGGCAGCTTCCCCTGGGGGCTTCTTTGCCTCATCTGAGTGTCCTCCTTTCCTTCAAAGCCTCCTGAGAGTTTACCTCCTTCCAAAGGTTGAAGTCAGTGCTTGGATGAAATAATCTCTCTGGTGTTTTTTGTTGTTGTTGTTGTTTGTTTGTTTGTTTGTTTGTTTGTTTATTTGCCTGCTCTGATTTTTGTTGATGTTGGTTTTGGTTTTGAATTTGTGTAGAACCCAGCGCAACCTAAAGCATGTGTAAGCCAGATCCTTGCGGTCTATTGCAAGGATAAGATTTTAATGTCTAAACTACTGCCTGCAGCAGGTTTCAGCTCTGGGACACCAATCATCCCAAACATTCCCTGAAACAGATACCTTTTTGAGGATTTCTGAATTCTTTGAGAAAACAGTGCACTACTGAGGTGAGGTGTGTGGTCAGTTTCATATTGGACACAAAGCTGTGAGAAGTTCAGATACATAAATACATTTATGTAGCAAAAGCATTTACTGCTCATGACACCAGAGATCTTCTGACAGCCGACAGTATTTTAATTCATGTTTAGTCTGGCTTTCCTAACATTACCATGTCTTTTCAGTAAGGTATGGCACTGCTTTCAATGGCTGTCATCAGAATTTCAGCAAAAGCACAATGGGTGAAATATTGGATTGAAACTAATCATCTTCCCAAGCCCCACGCCCCCAAATTCACCTTACTTCTTAAACCCAGGACAAAACCCTTAGAAGAGAGCAGGGAAAGAACATCCTTTGTCTGTCTAGCTCTTCGATACCTGGAGGGTAGCAGTAGGAACTTGGAGCAAATCTGCCACACTCTT